AATAAAAAATAAATGAGCAGGCTGCCTATTAAGGCTCTCCCATCAAGCTTACATCAGATTTTCAACAGAAATTCTATAGGTAAGAAGAGAATGGGATGACATATTAAAAATACTCAGACAAAAACCATCTGCCAAGACTATTATATCCTGCAAGACTTTTAGATATGTGGGAGAAATTAAGGCCATCCTAGACAAACAATAGTTTGCCAATAGTAGACTTCCACAACAAGAAATATTGACAGGTGCTCTCCTTCTAAATTGAAGAGAAGAAAGCCCACAAAAATATTGAACAAGTAAATAGAACCAGATAACTAAAGACAAAATGAAAGCAGCAAGTCCTCATATATGAACAATCACCCTTAATATAAATGGACTGAACGTGCCAATCAAAAGGCAGATGATTTCATTAGTGAGTTGTCAAAACTTCAAAGATGAAGTTATATGTATCCTTTCAAATTTTTCCAAAAGTTTCAGAAGAGTGAATGCATCCAAACACATTTTGAGGCTAACATTCCTCTACTACCAAAAATAGGCAATACCACACACAAAAAACTATATTCCTGATGAACATAGATACAAAGATGCTCAGCAAAATCTTATCAAACACAATTCAGCAATACATTAATACATGACCACTTGGGAATTATTCAAGGGATTCAAGTGTATGTCAACATCCGCAAGTCAATCAACATAATTCAGCACATCAAAATGAAAGGATTTCATGCTCATATCAATAGATGCAGAGAAAGCATTCGACAAGCTCCAACATCCATTAATGTTAAAAACTCTCAGATCCACAGTGATCATCATACTCAATGGGAAAAACTTAAAGTTTTCCCTCAAAAATCAAGTACAAGACTAGGATGTTCATTCACCCCTACTATTAAACATACTATTGGGAGGCCTAGCTAGAGCAATCAGGGAAGATAAAGATGTACAAAGAATCCAACTTGTAAAGGAAAGAAAATTGTACTCTTACATACAATGAACTAGAAGGGAAAGAAATCAAGAAAACAATCCCATTAACAATTGCCAAAAAAGAATCAAGTACCTAAACTTAATAGAAGGTAAAAGACTTGTACAGTGAAAACTATGAGATATTGTTAAAAGTAATAGAAGACACAAAGAAATGGAAAAATATTCTCTTCTCATGGTTTGGAAGAATTAACATTGTTAAAATGGTCATCTTACTCAAAGCAGATGAATGCTATTCCTATCAAAATTTGAATGGCATTCTCCAAATAAAGCAAACAACTGAAATAGCCCAAATAGCCAAAGCAATATTGACAAAAAAGAAGAGGCACCACACTCCCAGATTTCAAACTACATTATAAAGCTATACAAATAAAAATAGTATAGGTGGAATGAAAAGACACACAGACCAATGGAATAGAATTGACCACTCAGAAATAAACCCAAATTGAAAAGGACAGTTAATTTACAACAAAGGAGACAAGAATATGCCATAGAGAAAGGAATCTCTACAACCAATGGCAGTTAGAAAACTGGACAGTTGCCTGCAAAAAAAGGAAACTAGATTACTATCTGATGATATACAAAAATTAATTCAAAATGGATGAAAGACTTGGATGTAAGACCTTAGAATCATAAAACACATAATAGAAAATACTCCACATATCCATGACTTCATGGATTTGAGGACTCCTCTATAGTGGCAAGGAAAACAAAATCAGACAGACAAATGGGACATATGTCAAGTTAAAAAGCTTCTGCACAGCTAGAGAGACTGTCATTAAAACAGATGGACACTTGACTGAATAGGGGGCATACATTCAATGAAGAATTAATATCCAAATTCTACAAAGAACTTACACAACTCAACAAAAAGAAAATAACACAATAAAAAAAAAAATGGGCCTAGGAGCTAAATGGACTTCTCCAAAGAAGACATAAGAGATGGCCAAAAGTGAAAAGATGCTTATTATCACTAATCAGGAAAATGCAAATCAAAACGATGAGATTCCCTGTCACTTGTATGTACCCTTGCAAAGAGCCCATTAAATAAACAAGACAAACAGTACACCAAACTGAGGGGAGAAACCAATTACTGCACAAAAATGATCAATGATGTAAGAAAATAAAACAAAAGCAGAAACAAGTCTTGGCAACGGTGTGGAAGAGACTCTTATATACTGTTAGAATGTAGAGTACTCCTGCCACAATGAAAAGCAGTATGGAAGTTTCTCGAAATATTGAAAAGATCTACTATGTGAATCAGAAATTCTCCTTCTAGGTATCTATCTGAAGAAAGAATAAACACTAATTTGAAAAGACATGCACTCCTATGTTCATTGCAGTACTATTTACAATAGTTAAGCATGGAAACAACCTAAGTGCCTAACAGAGTAGTAGGTCAAGAAAATGTGTTGTACATACACAGTGGAATACTACTTGGCTATAAAACATTCTCTTCTGCCATTTGCAACAACATGGATAGAATTGGAGGGAATTATGCTAAGTGAAATAAGTCAGAAGGCAAAAGACAAATACTGGTATTTCACTTGTGGGAAATCTGAAAAAAACAAAGGAACAGACAAAACAAATCCTAGAAAACCAAACAAATCCTAGAAATATGATTGCAGAAGTTAGTTACCAGAGAGGAAAGGCTGAGGGAGTGCAGCAAAAGAGGGACTATGGTTTAAGATTATGGGTGCTTTGTTCATGGGTATGGTAACATTCATCTGAATAACATTCATCTGAGTCTATACCCCTAAATCTTACACAGTGCTGTACACCAATGTTATCTCAATTAAAAGATATATACATAACTAAAAAAATTTGGACATCATATGTAAGAAAACAAAAGAACCCACTGATAGGTCTAAGTCTACTCATCAGCCACATGGGATAGAGAACGGATCAGGGCTGGAAGGAGAGATATAGCCAGGACATTTGGCAAACCCCTACCGTAGCATTTATCACACATTTTAATGAACCAGGAGGGCCGCACCATATTTTTTAAATTTATGGCTGTGGCCAGATTCTGGCAGAGTTCAGTTTTATTGAATGAACAAAGAACTGCAATAATCCTGAAATGAAGAGTAAAAGCAAATTACTACATTCAATTAGGAACCGAGCATTTACTTTAAGACACAGTAAATATTTAAAATGTTTCCGAAATTCCAGATTTTAGTAATAAGTTCTATTTTGTACATTAGGTCATATGTTATAACCTTACACTATAGCAGTCGGTCCTCATTATTTATGGATTCCATGTTTGCACTCACCTCAAAACTTCTGTGGTACTTTCATGGTCATGTGCTCAGTGGTGAACAATTTGATTTGCCCAATGCATGTGTCCCCAGTTAAGGCTGAACAAAGAGGACCTGCTTTTAGCTCTCAAATTGTAAACATATAATGTCAATTTTTTTTTGTTTGCATTTTTGTGCATTATTTTGATGACTCCAGTTTAAAATTACCCCAAATGTAATGTTTACGAGCTAATACAAGGGCTTGTCCTAAGTACCAGAAGGCTGTGATATATGCCTTATGGAGAAAGTATGTGTCAGATAAGCTTCAGCCAGACAAGAAGTTATTGCTGACTGTAACTTATTATTAAATCAACAAAACAGAAAGATGCCTAAAACATGTTCATATCACATTGATTAGTTGATGAAAATGTTACACACAGAACCACAAAGAGGGAAAAATATTAAAATCCATCACTACTGCAAAATTTCAATGTAATATATTAAAATTTATTACCTTTGAATAGCATTTGACCAAATCCAAATTACTTCAATTAAAATCGACGAGAAGGCCATATAGTTTGAAAATGAAATTAGTGGGAAGGGAAAAGGATAATCTATTTAAAACATTGGTTTTAAGTACAATCACTTATGCTTTATTCTTATTAGCTGGACTCAGTTTGTTAATTTAATCCTGCTAAGGTCAATTTATACTTACTCTACAATAAACCCTACATTGTCCAAAAATTTCATGCTTCTACTTACGGTAGCGTTGCAAATCTGAAGTTTTTTTTTTAAACCTCCATTTCACTGACTAATGTAAACAATTCTCCATTCTCTGGCATAATATTTAATGTTAACCAACAGACAGCAACCTATTATTCTAAGTTATTAATAGTGGCAGTCTTTTGATTTTTTAAAAAAATTTGTCTAAAGTACACAACCTTGAATCGTCAGACACTTCTCATTTTGTACTCATACTAAGAATGACATTATCTCCCAGAAACCAGGAGTGATGAAAAATGTGTCCTAACACTAAGATTCCACAAACATTAAGAAGCAGACTTATCTGCCATGTTTCAAATGGCTTTAAAACTAGTTATAGTACACATATTACAGGGAACTTTAGGATGAACATTGAGTGCCTGGGTATTATAATAAAGGCTAACTAAGTCAGTTATATTTCCTAAAACTTTTGGTACCAGTATCATACTCCCAATAAGTATAAATGCTACTAATGGTGATTAAGAAGCTCAGAAGCTATAATTATGCATACCTTTACTGTAGAATTGAAGCAGTAGAGTTCTGAAAATGTGAGGTAAAACATCCAGGCACCTAAATGAACGAACATTTTGTAGGAGGAAGGAAATTTTAAGATGACTGATTTTGTAGGAGGAAGAAAATTTTAAGATGAAATTTTGATGGCGTAACATTTACATCAGTCACATTTTTGTTCACTACAAGGAATATGTAAAGAAGTCAAGTCATTTTAGTCAGGATAAAGTATATTTTTCACAATTAGAAATGTAACATCTCCAGTCACATTTAGATGGGAAACAGCCTTAAAAAAATAAAGACCTATACAAACCACCTATTTCAACAGAGCAAAATGCTTTCACTGTGACTGAAGGAAAATAATTTAATATTATCGGTTTAAAAGAGTGTAACTCCAGGGATTATGCTCCTATATAAGCATAAAATTTTTCCAAAGGATTTATAACTAAGGTATGAAAGACATAAAATCAAACTGCAAAGCTAGTTCAAAGCAATTAGAGTCCAGTGGTTCTCTTATTTCTTTTATGTTCTTTATTTTAAATTGGTATTTTAGAACAGTAAATTATCTTTCATAGCAGTGCCCCTGGTCTGATAGTACAGTATCCCATTTCTGAATGTAGAATTTTAAGATAAATCAAAATGAACATTAAGGCGTACAAACAGCTACTTTAAGTCTGCTCTTATTTAATAAGGACTGTTTTAACTCATATCAAATACATGGAATGTTGGCACAAAACCGAAGCTGCTGTAGAAAGATCACAGATGTTCTGTGAGTTATTGAAACTTCCATTTTTCTAAAAACATACCCTAATATGGTCTTAATTTTTACAAATTTAAGTGTTGAGAAAATGTCTAAATAATGAGTAACAATTAAAATAAAATGTTTATTTGTAAATTATGTACAGAATACATTTTTACTTTACCACAAGGAAATGGGGAAGGAAGAAGTCGTCACATTCCGACCAATGTTGTTTGCTTTCTCTGTTGGAGATGATCATCTTTTTCTGAATTAGATGTGTACAAATCAGTTTGGATTTCCTAAGTTGGAAAAGGAGAATTTGTAGCTAAACTAAAAGTGTTGCTGCATTATTTCTAGTTGGCTTATTTCCACAAAATGCTTCTGAACCCTGCTAACTCAGAATCTTAGAAATTTCCTGGTACAGTTTTATAATGAACAAAAAAGCTTAGCTATCAAAAACAATGAGTTTTAGCATTTCATCTTAAAGAATCTGAGAAATGGCTATATACCTATATGCACAATCGGAAATATTGGTGTTTCTCTTATATCCCTTTCAGTTATATTTGGATTATTCTAACAGTAAAAAGCCACACATCTGTCAAAAATCCCATTAATTTAAATGTTATGAAAAGTGCATCTTTGAGAATTATCAAAATGAATGAAATCTACTCACTATAAAATTATCAAATGGATAAAACTTATAAATGGCTTTCGGCTGTACCAATAGGATTCTATGAAATGAAGGACTGAATGTAACTGCTATGATGTCAATACATTTCAGCAAATGGACTTAAAGAATGCTACAAATGTCGTGTAATTATGATGACCCAGCCAACATAGAAAATCCAACTTCTTGCACTTATTCAGTCCCCAAATTAGTCAGATTATGATTTTTCATGTGAAGATTTCATTGTTTCTCCATCATTGTTGTCTTCTTCCTCCTCTTCACAATCCCCATCTGTTTGCTGTTCCAGTTCCTCTTTTGTGATCATTTCAAAATCATTCCCATTTCCACTACTGTGTTGGGATCGGTCATCTTCCCTCCTGTCACTGTCCGTGTCTGAATGACGTTCTCCACTTGAACCTTCTGTTCCATGATTTCCTGGTCCTAGTTTTCCCTCCTCATCTTCCTTTTTCTCACTGTCTGACTTTTCCTCACTGTCGGATTTTTGTTGTTTTTTGGTTTCAGATTTCTCATCTTTCTTTAAGTCTGCTTTTGGTCCTTTATACTCATGTGTATACAGAGGCCTGAAGGAATCAATGAAGCCCACGTCAGCAGTCAGATTTGGCAAGAACCAGAAGTGGTGTCTTCCTCCAGTTATCAGCCAAATGATGAGAAACAGAATACAACGAGCTGTGGGAGAAAAATTTCTCTAGTTGAATAATTTAAGCACTGACTCAGGTAGCGGGGGATATTTGTTAGTAAATTGGGGAAACATTCAGAGTACTTATTAGTTACACATTACCTGTACCTTAAATATGAACAATAAAATCCTGACTAGTTTAGTAGCTATCACATTACACTAAGCACAGAACATTCTGTTCTGAACTTGAGGGCATAATGCTACAAAGTCACTCAAAAATTGTCTTTTTCATCTGGGTGCTGCTTTATTATATACGCTTATAATTTAAGTATTTTGCATGTTAAAGTTCAACAAGCATACCTGTCAGTTGGATGTTTAAGTGTGCATGAGATCATGGTATAAGAAAAAGGAGATAAATAGAAGGGATAAAGGATATGTTAAGAAGCCCTTTACAAGAAAAAAAAAAAGGCTTAGTCATGGCTTTCCTAAACCTGATTGCCTTTGTAGGACAATGTCTCCTTGAAGAAATATTAACAATTACGTTTTATGACCATGTTGATATAAATATTATTGTGCATAGTTATTATATACATATAATTTTCTGATTTTAAAAGAAATGTTTCTGTGGGTTCCTAAATGTATCATGGGTCCAAGACATGTACCTGAAGGGTAAGTCTTCTAAGTAAAAACACTTCTGGACAATAAGGGGACATTTTCCCAAGTTATATAATTTTGTTAGTGCAGTACTTATATAATTTCTGCTCAAGGACAAACCCTCTCCCAATATTAGGAAACAGCACAATGCTAATGAAAGCCAGATCATTTCAACAGTATTTGAATTACTAGAAGATCTATGATAAAAATGTGGTTAAATAATGGAAGATTTTGAGAATTTATAGTAATGAATTATCATACACCCTAATACCTCACATATTTTTGGTTGATTTACTATTAGTATTATTAAATATTACTTTGCAATACTACTTAATATTACTACAGAGCCCAGTGATTTTCTTTTTTTTAAAAAGGTCATAATGATTATGTGAATGTTAGGGACTAATCATCTATGACAGATTTTTGTTTTATTTTTTTTTCCAGACAATTATATCCTTATTTTCATTTAAGGCCTAAGGTTCATCTATAAATCTTCCATTATTTTATTCTGGATAAATAAAAGGAAATGGTTACAGCTGCCTTGTTTTTTATAAAGTACAATTTCTATTTTCACCAGAGAATGTAAATATCTTAAAAGACTGTACATAATAGGGTCTTTGACGGTACAAATAGGAAAGGCAAATATGCTTGACATTCCACTGATAAATAGAAATAATGAACATCTTTTAAGGAGGCAGTGTGTATTTTTCCCTCAAGATAGAAATACAATGCTATCATAGGATTTATAAGATTATAAAACAGATGGCTCATACTGTGAAATCTTGTGTTAAATCCAAGAAAAAGCAATAAAACTGGCACACACACAAAAAATCTAAATTCTCATAATATATAAACCTGGCATAACAGAATTTTAACATGTTTGAGCTTTTTCATTTGTGGTTTTCTCTAGGTGACATTAGGTTACCAGGGTCAAAAGGAGAAAAATCATGGGAAAGCCACTGGGACATGTACTGTCATTCTGCTCCTTTACTAAAAGTTACACATCTAAAAATTGCAAAGGGTTCTATTTTAAATGGCAATATCAACCATACATATTCAAAATGGCAACCAAATGTAATTTTGACCAGTATATAATACTTCACATTAAAAAAAAATACATCCAATTTGTAAGTGGGCGACAGATCAAAACTATTTGTAAGACTACTTGGAATTGCATTTTCTAAAGGAAATAACAAAATATTGCATTTGCTTTCTGGTTATATAGTCAGAAGATTATTTAACATGCACTGTATAGTTAAATCCATAATATATTTAAAATGAATTACAGAAACAACTACTGAAGCAATACTTTATTTTAGGCTGAAATTAATTTTATTTTTCCTACTTGAATTTCAAACTAATGAGATATGACTGTTAACCAAGTGTGACTGTTGTCATATTGCTTTACTATTATCATAAAAGAGATAAATTGTTAATGAAATAACAGATGGTATACTATTCCTTAATAGTTCACATTTTTCTTTCTTTGCTTTTCATATTTTCTTTTAACTTCCCTGATTATTTTCTCTTTTCTCATTAATAGTATTCCAAATAAATGACAGATTTTTTCCCTACATAAAAAAATGAGGCATTAAATGCTCACATTATAGTTCAAATGTTTTGATAGTGAAAATGTTTTTCTTCTGAAAGATTAAAAGATTACTTTCTGTTTTAAATTGAATAAAGTTAATATGACAAATTCTCTAAGCTATTTTGTGGTATCTATGGATGACCCTATTTAAATGAAAAAACGAACAACTCCTGGAATAGTGACTGACAAAGGCATTCTGACCTTTTGTTTACTGCAGAATCATCAGACCCCAGTTTTCTTGCCTATTTCTCTTCTGTCTAATTCCAACTTGAATAAACACAATAACCATAATTATTGAAATATTGGTTTAAATAAAAGCTAAATAAGCAAGTTGGTTAATTCAATTCAGCTGAGATGAACTTTTGCTAAAAATTTTCAAAGTTTCTAAATTTTCATGAGTTTGAAGGCTAGAAGATTCCAATTTGATATCTAAAGTTGTATTAAAGTTTAATGCCATTCTTAAGGACAACAGTATACTGCCACTAGTTGTGTTTGCAGACTTGGGTATTATTTCTTTGCCTACAAATGTGCTGTGTTACATGCAGAAACATCAGGTGGTTTTCTCAAGGTTACTAAGCTAGAGAAATGAAAAAAATAAAATATGGGTGAAGAAGGTACCACACAGTGTCACAGATGACAGGAAAAAAGGAGGCCCATAGACATAGTAGTAAGTTGAATAAAATAATAAATTGGCTCCTCAGATCATAGATGGTAGCCCTAACTTACGACACCTAATGCCCAGGGTAAAGGGATATGAAGTGGGAAATTGCTAAGGGTGATAGGAGTAATGCTTTAGAAATGTAAGAATCTACTGTATAACATGGAACCTCAGAATAACATATGACGAGTTCAGATAATCTTGGTCAAATTTAGTCTCCTAGAAGTCACTGGGTCAATAAAGTGTGTGTTATTTTTCTATTTAGACAGAGGTATTCTTATTCTATATCCTTGGTAGAAAAGTTAATTTCTCACTTGGGGAAAATAATTAGGAAAATCACTTAATACCATACACCAACAGAAAATCTAGATGGGTCAAGGAGTCACATATAAGTTTAAAAAAAATCACTTGACATATTGGTTCCCAAAGAGAGAAATTAAATTAGACCTGCCCACCATATATAGGATTTTATATAATTTTTTTTTCATGGTTAAGTAACATGCTCATTATAAAGATTATGGGCAAGTATAAGTCATTCGGAATTATCACCACTATTTATATTTAGGTATATTTCCTTCCAATTAAACTCTCCCTAGCACTATTTCCACTTCAAAAAAAAAAAAAAAAAAAAGAAATAATCTTATTAATAGGCGAAAAACACCTCATTCTCTTAATTTTATTGTTTGATTACTAGTAATGGGTATTTCTCATGCATTTATTAATCACTTGCTTTCTTCTGAATTGGGTAATTTTTATGATGATTTATTTTCAGCTATAAAGGAGCCCAGTCATCCAAAATAAAAATAAAAAAAATCACTTAGTTAAAATCCTTAATGCAACTTGAATTGATGTTGGTCCATGGGCGCAAACTGACTTTTCCCCAAATGGCAAATCAACTATTTAGAATCATTTATTGAACATATACATAGAAATTAAATATTTGGTATGTTTCATTTGCTTTTAGTCAAAATACAAAAATTTTACTGAAAGCATTATGTCTAATAAATGATCAACTATTAAAGAATATTTTAAAAATATTAAAGTATATTTACATATAGATTAAGACAAACTAAGCCTGCTTACTTCAGAAGAGACAAAATCTAATCCAGCACATGAACTACTTCAAATCTGCGTCAGTTCTGGAATACAACCCAAAAAGTAGGCCCATATTCTTGAGTTGCCTACATAATTTTGCTATACAGCTTCATTTAAGTTTCAGATTACAGCTGAAATAGCCCAATATCTACATTACTGGTCAGTTTTACCAATCCTACTACTTACCAACAGCAAGGAGAAGAATGCTGGCTACAAAACAGCCTGCTCCCACGCTGAGGTAATAGACACCTACTCTCATTTCTGCAGGCCAAAGAGGGAATAGGGTGGCTGCTATCACTGCAATCACTGGAACAAAAATGACAAAGTTACAAAGATAATTTTTAGATTAAAATTTTAATGCCTTGGTTGCAATAACAGTGAATATATTCCTAGGGAAAAAGCTAAAACATAAGACATATTGAAACATAAAGTTGCCATTTTTTTTAAATAAAAAACGGTCAATTATCAGTCATTTCACATAGTTCAACCTAACATTTTAACAACTGTTCATATTTTTTTTTCCCCCTGATCCCTTACTTGGTTCCCCTACATTCCTCCCAGAGGTGAAACCATCCGATATTTTTCTTTCTTTCTGGCTTATTTTACTGGGCACAATCACCGCCCCCTCTTCCCCCAAAATAATATATTAAAAAACAAAATTAACAGGCAACTATAAATCAGAGAATAGACATTCTGCAGGGGAGGGGAAGGAAGAGAGATCAAAACAGGGGAGTAAAGAGCACAATGGACTATGGTGATGGTGCACGGGTAAACTGGTGGTGGGAATTTTACGGGGACTATGGCTAGCATACATTGCACAAAAAGGAAGAATGATGTAAAATATATATTAAAAAAACTTAAAAAAAAAAACCCAACTGTTCATAAATTATATTAGAATTTTTTTATTATAAATTACATACAATTAGAAAAAGGTGCTACTTTTTTTTTTCATCAGCACATGGCACATTTATTAAGGAAAGGAAAAAAAGGAGATGTTTGCATAGATGCAGGTGGGCAGAGAGCTGCTGAAAGAAGTGCTAGCTAAAAATGTGAAATTGCTAGCTCCTTAAATGGTTAACTGCTGCTGTTTACAAGCAGTATCTACTTATTTTTGAACATAGATATCTACTGAATAGGGGAGCTTAAGGAAAATAACACAAACAACACAACTAACCAAAAAGTGATTCCAAAGATCCCTCCCTGAAGAATCTGATTTGGAGTAGAGCTCTGACATATACAGATTGCAATTCTTTGGTAGTAATAGAAATCCTACATTTTAGCTGAGCAAAAAGATATACAGTATAAAAAGCACATTTTATTGCTAGATGATATTTTGGTATGCCGGGAAACTGTATACAAGCACCTCCAGCTTTTATCCAAATATGGTGAGACCACATGGAACAATCATAAGAGGTCAGAAGTCTGGCAATCAGGTATTTAAAGAGAGATCAGGATTCAAATTACAGTTCTATCATTTATAAGCTAAGTAACCCTGGTAAGTTATCTAACTATTTTGAGGCTCAGTAATCTTTTATTTAATACACTGCCTACATTACCCGCTTCTATTCCTTAAAGATAATTATAAGGATGAAATGAAATAACACATGTCAAATATTTAGTAAACTGACTAGTACATAGTAAGTGATCAACAGCTCTTAACTATTTGAGTTGGATTATGAGTTTCAACTTTATTATAAAAGTTATTTTGAAAGGGATTCTGTGCTACTGTACTGATCAAGCTTGTGTATTTAACTGCTGTCTATTTTTTTTCTACTTGTTAAATCACTGTCTCCCTGCTGCCTCTCACACCCTAACCTGAACTTACAGGAATAACATAAACTCATGATTAAAAAAATTAATAAATAAAAACAAAGCAAAAAAAGGTATAAAGTGCTCCTCATCCAATTCTTGTTTCACTTCCCACTGATTAACTATTATTATGTTTCTTATGTGTTCCCAAAGATTGCCTATAATTAATTAAAACTAAAAACGCAGAACTTCTTTCTACATAAACTTATACCACTGTTCCTCTTTCACAATTTATTTTTTCATTTAATCTGTTATAGAGCTCTTTCTATCACTAAATCTCATCTAATTCTTTAAAGGCTAAATGATAATATAGCAAGCAATTGTACTTTAAATTACTTCACAATTCTTCTATTAGGGACTTGAATTGTTTCAGTATTACACTCTTAGGTTATACACAATGGTGCAATAAACAACAATGTACATATATATTAGTGCAACTTGATTACAACACAGGATAAATATGAAGTGTAATTGTTAGGTCAAAAGGTAGAAACATTTAATATTTCAAAGATTTTTGCTAAATTACCCTCTTAAATATAGTCTGGAGGATTTGTGTTAGTACTGATAATGCAAACTCTCAAATAGATAATCTGTTTTATTGTATTAAGAACAACCACTGGATAAATTCCTAGAAGTTGAACAGATGGTCAGTACTACATGCATTTAAAATTCAAAAGATAGTGCTAGACTGCCAGAGTTAGCCAGACTAAAACAAGTGAAACTACACTTTCAGGGATCATTTCCATAGCTCATAGAGCAAAAATGGAAATGGGCATATTGCCAATAGTAAAAAATTGTTGGTTTCTCCTAAGTGTTGGAGACTAAGACTACATCCTACTAAACTTTATAATCTTTGTGGCTTTCACTTTTTTTATTAAGGATCATTCACTATTATTGGTCATTATAAATTTTTTAATCTATGAGGTATTTTAATATCTACCAGTTTGTTAGTCTGTTAAAAGATCTTTGCTTTAATGTGTTGCAAATATTTTCCTCAGTTTTTCTTCTACCTTCTTGGACTTTAAGGTATACATTTTAAAAATAGCTCTTTTATGTTAATTTTTTTCTTTATGGCTTAGTTTTTATTTTCCCTAACAAATTCTTCAGAGATGATACTTACCAAGAATTAATCCCATGACAAATGTTTTAAAGTGAACTGGGTCATAGATCCACACAAACACCTGGAAGAATTAAGAAATCCCAGTGCTTAAAGTTCTAAAGTCATATTAGAAAGTTAAACTTAATTCTATACTTTTGATCCCTATAAAAGTCACTTCCAACCTCTTAACATATAAGAAATACTTTCTAAGGTAAACAAATTCCAAAGGTCTTTCCTTCAGCAGTAGTATAACTTTTGATGGCCATTAGTTAGAAAATTATTTTAAAAATGATAAACTTCGTAATGCACTAAGGTAAATTCTATATAGTTCCATGCATTTAACAATTTGTTGATATGACCAATTTATTACTTATTCAACCCGGAGTTCAGCAATTATACTTTTAGTCACTAAAGGATGTATAATGGCATGATGTACTAGACTAAAAGCAGTTTATATAACAGATTCCAGGCAGGCTCTATTAGAGATCCACCAGCTCTCAACTCTACCCAGTTCCCTCTAACTGATGAGATGTAAAGAATGATTATTAAAAATCATGCTCATTGAGTATAAAGGTTCGATGACTCCTTGCAAGAATTTCATTGCTTATTACTCCATGGAAAGTCTACAGCCCACAAGTTGGTAACGACTACTTTAAATCCATTTTAGACAACAGAAATTTATTTCATTTGGTACAATCAGAACTCTGCTAATCATCCGTAAAACACCTAGTTTTACTGCTGAGTTTCTAGTACTCTTCCATCTCCTGGTTCTGCTTTGACCAGAATTCTGTTACTATCTTTTTGATCTGGTTCTATTTCTACAGTGATGTTCCATTCTTCTTCTTTCACTATGTATGATTTCCCTGGAAATCAGATTCACAAACACCACTTCTGCCAATTAGAATTCTTAAAAACCAAAAAACAAAAAAACCCAAGTTCTTAAAGACATTTCTCAGAATTTCAACCTTACACCTTCAGGAACCACTACTTTATATACAATACCAGTCTTAGTAAGAACAGATATGTCTTGAAATTTACAACAATTCAATAGTCAGTATATTGGTTAAATGACTAAATTTTAAAGCAGCCTTCACAGAGAGCTATATGACAAAAATCTCCCAATACAAAAGAAATAAAAACTATCTCCTTGAGTAAAGCACCAAAAATGAAAATTTTAGGCTCCTGAAGTAATATGTCTGACTATATATTGTATATGAGGTGCATATGTATTGAGGTGTATATATATATATAGTATATTTAAGTGTTCCCCATTAACCATTCTGCTTTTTTCTTTGGTAGTAATAGAAATCCTACATTTTAGCTGAGCAAAAAGATATACAGTATAAAAAGCACATTTCTAAGACTTCAAAATAGGTAGGCATAACCATGTCACTAGGTTCTGGCCAATGGAATCCAAGCAGAATGAAACTATCAGCCTCCTGGAAAGCGGCCTTAAAGAGGAGGCATGCTGTCATTCTCCTTTTCTCCTCTGGGTACACATACAATATCAGCAGTTATTTTGGACATGATGTAACCTTAATTTACTACTATACACAGGAGGAAGAGCTTGATTCAACATGAAGATGCCATATCTATATTGCTTGCCCTTAGATTTCACAGATAAGAGAGAAGTAAATACTTTAGTGCCTGTTTATTTCAGGTTTCCTATCACTCACAGACAGCTGAAACTGAGTATTTTTAATAAATTTTTTATAAATCAAAAATCAGAGGCATTATTTCTAAAAGACTTATTATCTATATGGTTAGATTTATCTAAATTTCTTCTTAGTGAAGGAATCAAAGATAATTCTAAAACCTCACAAAACTGGATTTCTAGTTATAGGCTAAATACTCTCACCTCATTTCCATCCAGAAAAACTTGATCATCATGTGGCTCAAGCTTGAACTTTTTCTTAGTTTCTTTCTTTTTAGGAGTTCCTGGAGTTTCCTCCTATTAAAACCCAAGTTGAACAGAAGAAAAAAAAACACAAACTAGTAAAAAGGATTATGACATTTAATACAGAAAAAAATTCACTATTTGAGACACAAAAATTCTCAACTAGGTATTTCAAAAACCCATATAACTGGTTACTGGATAAAATATTTTAAAAGTTTTCATATGCCTGAATTGTCATGTACACATAGTCATTTTTGATTTTTACTGAATTTTAGTTGAAATCACCAAATCACCTTTTTGGATTCTTCCTTTTCACAATCTTTTTTTTTTTCTTTTTCTTTTTTTGTCTTTTCATCCTTTAGATTTTCTTTCTTGCTCTTTTTATCTTCTTCTTTTCCACTTTCAGCTTTTCCTTTCTCTTTTTCTTTTTTTATGTCTTTATCATACTTCATTTTCATTACTTTTAGTGCTCGGTGAAAAAACTGCTTCTTTAAAAGCCTTTAGGAAAAAGTTACAAGATTAATTCCTTATTAGTTATATACAGACTTAAAAGCAAAAATACGTAAATCAAAATAAAGTGAACAAAGGAATACATAAATTGGCAACTCACAAAATAAACTACAACTAGTAAGCATATGGGAAACAGTCACGCCCACCTCTAGTAAAAACTGCATAGCCTAATTGATTATATAAAAGTTGTCAACCTAATTTCCATTTTCAAGCCATACATAATATTATAGGTATATATAATATAGGTATAAAATACCTATATAATATAGGTATAAAAGATTATAAATTTGGATTTATCCTTATGAAGCTTTTCTCTAGATTCATTAAGAGTAATAAAGGACCTCCCCTGGTGGCTCAAGCAGTTGAGCCGCAGCACTGTGAAGCTGTCCGCAGCCTCTACAGCGCTGGTTCGATCCCGGCCGGCTGGCGAGGGTCCCATATGGCGCAGCAGACCTCTCCTGGTGCGCCCGCTGCTCCCCTTAGCAGTGTATTTCGCCAGTCTGCCTGTTTTGTTCCCTGCTCTGTCTCTAGTGAATCCTCTCACCCTCCCACGCATCTGGCCTGTACCTTGTTTTTTGTATGTTTGTATAAATAAATAAATAAATCTTAAAAAAAAAGAGTAATAAAAACTGTTTTACTCAGTGTTAAGCTCAAATTCAAGAGGAGACATTTATAATAGTTTAAGAAATATTAACAGATTAAAAATGTGTCCATGATTTGACTAATCTAAATAATGTCTTCAGCTGGGTTTTTTGGGGGGTGGGGGATGTTACATACTTCTCTCCACCATGTTCTTCACATTATTCAGTCTGTCACTACAATGAAACATCTTCAATTAAGAAATGGATGAATATACTAACGTATATAGCACAATAGCATATAACTGTGCAAAACAACACTGTACATTTCTTTAGTTTCTTTCAATACACTGTTCTTCTATTAAACATGTTTTTTTAAAAAATATAGTTACATTCCTATCTCATAAGCATGTCCTTTTCGTTCACTCCCTCACTTCCTTCAAGTCTCCCACCAGACATTATCTTCTCAACTAGGCTTACCTTGTATAAAATTATAAATCTAAGCCCCATTCTCCCTCTTATTTCATTTTATCCTATTCATGGCACTTATTTTCTAACAACATATACTTTGTTATATCTATTTGCCACTTTCACAAGAGTGTAAATTACTTAACGGTCAGATACCTGCTTCATTCATTTCTTTATTTGATGAGCTTAGAGGTTGCTGACCTGCTAGATAAAGTCAATCTTGGTGGTAGTTCTTTCTAACTGTATCACCCTACTCAAGAAACTGGGCTGGTCCTTCCTTTCTTATCTAAAAGTCATCTTTTCAAATCCTATGTTTCAGAGTTACTGATTTGTTTCCTCATCCCATTGATAATGTACAATTACCAAAACACAAACTAGAAGTGAGGTCTCGTCACTATCTGTGTACCTTTCCCTCTCAACTTTCTACTTGCTCCAGCATATCACACTGCTTGTTAACTTGATGCCTCCTTCTTCTAGAAATAACTGACCACTTATTTCTAGTAATTATATTGTGCAATCTGGAGCACCTGCTTCAAACGGTGTGCCTGGGCTTCTTTCTGCTGTGCAACTAGATCCACCCCATGAACATCTCCACATAGCTAACTTCCAGGTCTACTCATTTGGCCCATTTTACTTGTTGAGAAGATCTACTTAGCATATAATTGTGCAATGATCTGAAATACCTCAAAAGACTACCATTAACATTTGCAAATATATAAATAAGTCTACATTAAGGGTCTGAACCAAGACCCTTTGCAATTAACTACTTATGACTAGAAAATGAAATTTAATAGTAGTGGCAGCTATGCTAATAACAAAGGGGATTTTTAATTTTTATCCTACTTCAGAATGTCCCACAAAAATTTATGACGAACATACTCTAATTTAAAAAATTTTGGCACTTATTTTTGTGATTTCTAGATTTTCTATCAAAAACATTTATTACCACTTAATAAAGACAAAAATACATCCTATTTGTTTATATTGTAGTTCATATTATAGGCTTCCATATATTAAGAAAACATGTGGACATACACAGATACTTGAAGCACATACATTAAGTCCTCACTTAACATTGCCAATAGGTTCTTGGAAATTGCTACTTTAAGCAAAATGATGTATAAGAAATTAGGTCCTTCATTTTGTTCAATGTTGGTCATTATTTTTGCTACTGTAAAGCCTTCAATTTCATTTAATAGCTATAGAATAGGCACACATAAACACTTTATGACTGTTCATAAATTATTCCATTATAGGATCATTCCATTATTTTATAAGTAGAATAACTGACTTATCCCTTGATAGGTCTTTAGAAAATGTCTACTTCAACTATGCTTTGAAAAAGATGGCATTTAATACTGTAATGAAATCAATAACTCTACTTACTTAGCGTCAACTACATCATAGAGAATAAGTCACACAAAGCTCTCCAACATTTTTACATAATTCCCTATTTTAATTTGTCCTGTACCCTTTGCCAGGATCAAATGTCCTTTCTGCTATTGTTTGCTGGATAATCACCTATCTATATTTCAAAATTTGATTAACATGTTCCCCTATTAATGCATTCTTGAAGTTTCCCCATCTCTGTTCCTCCTTATAGAATACAACACGTTGTAATTAGTCTTAAATCTTCTCTAACAAACTAGATATGTACTTTGGAGGCAGGGTATCAAATCACTGTCATCTTTGTATTCCTGGCCTGGCATATAAAAGATATTTGAAAAATATGTTGAGTAAATAATCATCCCTTGAATATTTTGTCTGTAGCCAGGGAGGAAGCCACAGAGGCTGGTCATCATGAACACTCCCAGGTTGTATTAGAAGTGGCTCTGAAAGGGCCTCCCTGGTGGTACAAAGGGTTAAGCACTGCAGTATGAAGCAATTCGCAGCCTATGCAGCATGAGTTTGATCCCCGGTCAGCCAGGGAGCAACCCACATGGTGCAGCAGACCTCTCCTGTCTCACCTGCTGCTCCCCTCTGCAGTGTATTTCAGTCAGTCTGCCTGTTCTGTTCCCCACTCTGTCTCTGGTTAATCCTCTCACCCCCTGTATCTCTGTCCTGTATCCCAGCTCCTGTATGCATAAATAAGTAAATCTTAAAAAAAAAAAAAAAAAGTTGCTCTGAAGAACTCAGGTATTATGCTTCTCTATTTTTGTGCAGAAAGGACACAAATGTCTTAACATGAATGAGAATGACATATACAATGAAGAGCATATCTCTAGAACATTCTCTGTACTTAGGTCTTTGGGGCTTTTCATGTAACAATATTATCAAAGATCTTTAAAGGCCAAGTGGTATGGATTAACACTGTTTCTTCGTCTGAGAGATTTAGGTTAACAGACTTCATATTCAAGTAGTATTGATGGGTGAACCCTTCACCTTAATTTATGCTTCATTAAATGCATATCATTTTGTTGGAGATAGTATAATGTAGTAGTTAAGAGCATAGACTATGGAGCCTGACTATGGAGACTCCGCAGAAGTATGGCTCTGCCACTTACCAGCTACCTGACCTTGGGTAAGTTACCCAACTTCTTGGTTTTCTATTTATAGTATTTGTTGATTTTTATACCATATACAAGAAATAAATGTACCTTAAAGTTGACAGGGAAATTTGTACTTTGGGTTTCTAAATATACAAATAACTATAAAGGTAAATAGTGATGTACCACTGTTAGATCATTCTTGCCCCAACAATGAAATTTTCAGTTTCTGGAAGGTCCATTAGTGACCCTGATTTTAGGCCAATAAGAATTCTAACATATGTCAATTTTTTAACTTTACATTCTTAGAAAACAGTTTGTGAAATAGTGGTTTTAAAGAAGGTTTCCTGTGACTGACACTCTAAATGCTATAAACAATATATTAATAAATGCTATATAATAAATTCTCATTGAACATAAAATAATCCAAAATGTCACCAACAATCAAATTTTAGTGTCACAAAATTTATTTTGTTAACATCTTAAAAAATACGCTTATTTAAGTAGTAGGTAAACCAAGCAGGAAAAATGGAAAGAAAACTAGCGTAGTTCTTCCCAAGAGGAAAGTGATTTTTGTACAGCACTATCAAGTTTTTCCCCAAAGGAGACATACCTATTATGAAAAACATGAGTATGCTACTTAATTGTCTACACTTCATCTTGCTGTCAAGACAAGGTAGATGTTGTAGCTGTCTTGATTTTAAAAGAAATACATTAGCTATCACTAAACAAAACAGGGAAGGGTGCCTGCTAATGACTCAGTGTATGGATAAACAAACAAACAAACGGAACAAGAAGTCTATTAGGTATAACAGCCAAAGTTTTGGAAAAGATTCCCCAACTGTGCTTTAGTATAGGATGAACTTTTTGGTTCAACACAGGCATCGGTATATGATTTTTAATTGTTGACCCTTTAGTTCAGTCAATCTGGCAGAGGCAACAGAATACAAATAAAAATTTTAAAAATGATGGGCCTCCCCTGGTGGCACAGCGGTTGAGCACTGGTTCGATCCACGGCCACCAGCAAGGGTCCCATATAGCGCACAGATCTCTCCTGACGCACCCGCTGCTCCCCTCAGCAGTGTATTTTGTTGGTCTGCCTGTTCTGTTCCCTGCTCTGGTGAATTCTCTCACCCTCCCGCACTTCTGACTGTACCCAGTGCTTGTATAAATAAATAAATAAATCTTTAAAAAAAAATTAAAAAAATAAGGTAGTCTCACACCAAATAAATGCACTTCCAGAGGTACCAAGGAACCAGGCTGCATGTAAAAAGATGTTTGAGCTATGTTGTACTATCACATTTAATGATGAAAACGAATAAGGAGTTCAAGACTAGAGAGGAATTTTTATGTTACTGATTTACATTATCCTTTAACTAAGAATATACACTACCTGTTGCAGTAGTCAACCACAGACTCCCTTGTTGTAAATAAAGCTTCCTCTCCTTTCTTGGCCTTTGCCCACTTTGAATCCAAAAGGCAATCCACTGCTTTTGAAGCTAAAGAAGAAATTTATTATTTCTACACCATATATAAATTATTAAATTTATTACACATGGGAATTTACGTCTAGCTAATATTTTATAAGACAAAGTTCAACATTTTGGCATGAGAAAATAAAACCAAGTTCAACAGAAAATTAAGTCTGACATGATCATGATAGTCTTTTAAAACCTCAATTTGTAAAACAAATTGATAAACATCTTTTTACAGTAGTGCTAGAAATGACATTCAAAATAAATCGAGGTAATGTTCTAAATAAATACTTCAAAATAAAAGCAAATATCACTAATTCAATCACAATTAAATGTAGGAAAAACAACCCAAAATCTTCCTTTCCCACAACAGTACAGAAATTCTGTTATCAAGCTTTACTGTAAGCCACTGAGAAACAAGCTCTGTACACAATCTTTTGTTAAACAGCAGCTAAAGACATTAGATCTAAAGAGAACAGCATATCTATTTTTCAAATCATTAATCATAACACTAAAGAAAGAAAATGGAATTTCTTCTCTAATAGCAATTCAATAACAATTGATGAGACTACTTATAAGCTGTGGGGCTATATATATATGTATATGTTACTATACATTAGCTTATAATAATGTTGTTTGGATAATGTGAATAACCACAGCTGGTTCCAATGGACTTGTTTAACACTGAATTAAAATCCATAATAATAAATTTTATATACTTAAAAAAACATATATCTGAATAAAAGGTAGTCTATAAAACTGAAAATTAAGCCTCTTTTTAAGATTTCCAACAAATGTCATAACTAAGCACTTTCTCTTACCTTTTATGATTGATATTTTCATTCATAAAAGGAAAGAACATACACATCATCCAGCATCACCAATCACACTTGGAAATCACTTTTAAAACATCTACATATTTCAAATTTAGGTATCCTCATTAATACATGTTATCTAATAAAACTTTACTAATGTAATCCTACCAATAAAATAATCAACTCGGTGACCCATCATATTGGTGGACTTTGTAGGACAGTTGAATCGAAGATACTTAGCTACAGCCTTCTCTTCTTTTGATGGTTCACCAACTTCCTGCAAAAAATGAAAATTTAATATAACCATTTATTTGAGAAATTCATGCACTAAAGAATAATTTATAGATCTGTTTTGCATATCATTTTAAGTGGAAAATAAAAGGTCTTTCTTTCAGGCTTTCTCTGGATCAGATATGGTAAAGTATTCAAGACACAGAGAAGAGATTTTAAAAAATTATCTCCTTTTTAAACATTAAATTGATAGGTTCAAAACTGGACTGTCTCTGTCCTCAGTTACAAGGCATTTGGGTTGTTTTTCTAGAATGGTAACTACTTTGTACCAGTTTACCTTTACTCTTCCTTGGTCTCTTTTTATAAGCCACAAAGCAATAATTTAAAAGATTAAGAGGCTGCCAATAATAAGTGCCCAATGTCAAACTAAGTAGAAACAGGTGCGATAAATAAATGTTAAATAACAGTCAAAACTAAGTACCCGGAACAATGGACAGCAGACCATAAGAGGTGTTCTCAAATTACTAAAGACAGCTATTCCAATGTGGAAGCCACAATAATTACTATCTGAGATGCTGAAGATTTGTATTTCCTCCCTTTTTCCCTTGTGGTTGCAGATCCCAGATAATGGCTGGGACTTCTAATCCTTTCTTCCCCAGTCGTAGTAAAGCAAAAATAAAAGTGCATTTGACAGACAAATTACAATCTCATTTGAAGAACCATTAATGGGAATGCACAGTTTTGGAAAGGCTGATTTATCCTGTAAGTACACATATGTATCTGCATGCACCTGTACATGCTTTTATAAGTTGTCTTATTGCTGTAAGCTGTTGAAACAAAAGTACTGTCTTTAATAACATGTTTAAGTATGATATTTAGAGCACTCAAGCAGTATTTCCAGCAATATATAATCTAAATTGAATAATTTTAAGGCCTATTTCTTAAACAAAATGCCAATAGTAAAGAATTATCTGCCAAGAATCTAGGATGCTGAGAACAATCAATGCTAAAGATAGATAACAAAGCATTCTAAAAATACAATATGGAAAAATAATTTATCTAATCATCAGTGTTTGTCAGTTTTCCCACAAATTTCAGATACATCTGAATTCAGTTGCTGGATGAAAATAAGGAACAATTAACAAACCAAGGTTTCAGCTTTCATTTTATCTTGAAAAGGGGTAATTTGTTAGATGAAGTGAGAACCTGTGCTTTGGTAGATGAGTCATGTGGCAGCTACTTCTCATATTTCTTCCTTTGCTTTTCTCAACTCCTCTACTTCTAGAGGCCCAATTAGATATCATTCTTATATAATGTCTCTACCCTATTTGTGGGTTATTATTTGTGGCAATAAAAACTAAGAGTCCAAGCCATTCAATTCAAATAAAAGAATCTAGTAAAAAACAAATATTCATGCAAATAAAAAAACTCTTCCATTTATATATAAAAACACGTATCACAGAAAAATAGAATCTTTAAAATTGCAAATTCAAATTTTAACCCTCAAGTTCACTAATATCTACAAAGTTCTTAATGACTTAATTTGGGCCTTGCCTCAAAAAATACCTTTTTTTAAAAAGATTTATTTATTTATTTATACAAGCACTGGGTACAGTCAGAAGCGCGGGAGGGTAAGAGAATTCACCAGAGCCAGAGCAGGGAGCAGAACAGGCAGAAGGACAGAAATACACTGCTGAGGGGAGCAGCGGGAGGCAGGACGGAGGGACCCTCCTCTGGTGGCCCGGGAGCAGCCAGGGAGCGAAGCGGTGCTGCAGAGGCTGCGGGCAGCTTCGCACCCATCGTTCAACGCTACCGGGGAGGCCCTCAAAATATACTTTAACATACCAAAAGGTAAAAATTTGTATTTAAATTTTTGAAATTACAGTAAATCAACATATGTCAGTATTCCATGAAATATTTGTTTGCACAATACACTGCATTTCTAGAAGTCTCAATTATTAGTAAATTATATATCGAAAGCCAAAAAAATACAATAAATGAAAATAATAAAATGCTGTAATTGGCTTATAGAAACCAATTCCATTTTTTAATTACACCCATATATGCTAATTTCTCTCCCTCATTTGATAAAAGCTGTTGTCAACTTTTTTTTTCCTGATTAGCTGATGTTACTAAGAAAAGTTGATTAAAAAATTACGGGAGAAAGTCTAAATAAACATAAATCATTCAAATGATTACTCAGTGTTTACCCTATAGTTTTGGGTGCTACAATTAATCCAAAATTTTGTCAGACATGATACCTACACTTTATTACAACTATCCAAAACAGCAATTGTTATATTCCAAAATGAGTGGCAGAAAAAAGTATTTTAGGAGTACACAAAACAGTGGGCTTATAAAGTGGATGAGGACAGCTATAAAAGGCCTCTTGGGCAAGGGAGCTGGATTTTGAGTTCAATGAGTTTTGAGTAAATTGACTTAGAATAAGCACTAACTGTAGGCCTAGTGAAGTATAGTTAGGAAACCTTGGGAGATTAAATATGTATATATAGAACAGGACTAAAGAATTTCCAAGGGAGTCTCAACTTTACCCTACAAGGAACATAAAGCCTATCAGTAGATTTTGAATAGAAAGAGGACATAATTATAAAAAATGATTTAGACATACTATTTTTTTGGGGTCTGTGAGTAAACTGAATTAGAGAAAAATTCACAAGGCAGAGAAATCTGCTGGAAGTCTATTGTAGTATTCAATAAAACATGGTATGATGCTGGATTAGGAATGGGAGGGAACTTCAGATATTTGAAAAGTGTCAAATGCAGAGTAGAAATGATATAATGATAATGGGTGAATGAAATGGCTAAGCAAAAGAAGTCAGATTTCTAATTTGGTCAACTGAGAGTTTTTGAATAACAAATGTGGGAGAAAGGTGATTCTGGATGAAAAATAGTAATATCAACTTAGGCATGACAAATCTAACTCAGCACTCAAATGATTTATTGAACTCAGGCATAAATATGTTGATTGAGGAGTCATGTAAAATTTGATTATTAGGATACATAAAAAATTATTTAGCTTTACAACACACCAACATATATACTATAATGAAATAAGGGTTACTCTAAATATATATCCATATTATTTGGGCCAGTTCTTAATATAACCTCTTTGAGAAAAAATATTAGATGAGTCACTAAGTCATTCTTACAAAAATTTTTGATTTAGAAGAATTTTTTTTTACATTACTATCTTCAATAGGAATAAGCTTACTTGATTTGTCAAGAGTGAAATGAATATAAAAAAGGCTAGTTCACAGCTTTTTAACTTGTATGTTTATATAAACAGCATAAGAATGGACAAAGGTTTACAGAAATATATCTGAAAGCTGGAGGGGATGTTAGATAAGTCACTTGCTTAAAAGTCAAATAGGATGTTACTAGTAAAGCTTTACAAAGAGTCTCTGTATCTTGCCCGTGGTAGAACTCTTCTGTAAATACCTCCCTGCTTCACTGCTATTGTATGCCCTCCATTAAGCCTCTGGGGGCAGTTTTCAGGTTTAGGACTGCTTTCCTGGGATCCTTTTCTTCTGAGTGAGACTGTATAGTCCCAAACTTTCTCTTTTCTGAAATTAAGCAAATAAGGCCCATGATGTATCAGGGTTTTATTACCAGGGAGACACATGGGTGCAACAAAATTAAGAGACACAGATTATAAATTCTATGAATTAATAAGTCATTTAAAACACAAATGGAGTTTACATATAAGCAGAATACGAAATGGGATAATTCTCCCTTTAGCTGGGACAAGTCATGTTAAGTGTTTATACAATTTAAAATAAAAATTTCAGGATTGAAGGATTTCAGAACAGCTTATTTTTATTTTATCAATGATGATGGGGAAAGAACATTCAACCAAGAATTGGAAGGAAGTCCTGGTCCAAAGTATCTTGGTGTGTGACCCTGAGTGAATTCATATAACCTCACTGAACCTGTAAAATGAAGGAGATGGTATAGAACAGTAAGTTTTACATCTAGAATTACTCTTATATCTAAAAGAAGCTTTAAGGACCATGGGTATAAGGATAATAGTAGTGTGGTAATAAAGTGGAGGACAGAGTTGCTTTTACGTTAGAACTGCCTTTGTGAAAAGGATTCCCTAGTAAATCTTACTATTTGAAAATCCTTCTGCTTGCTGACATTTCATGATACCAGGATAGTAAAGCAACCTTTTGAGTAAGCCTGTTACCTATAATTATGCACTGTCCTTAATTTTTAAGCATTGTCCTTAAAAATTTATGTAATTGCCTTTCTTAAATAACTTACAATTACTTATTTCAAATGTTTCATTAATTATCACTCTTAGTTGTGAGGCTCAATTTTAAAAATGTATCTCACTTCTGGTTTTCAGTGATGAATAAAGTCAGTCCTAGAAGGAAATGTGACAAAATGATCCTCATGTTTCCAGCTTTGACAGGATACCAGAATCTGAAATTATGCTACACTAGAAAAAGCAAGTGAATTAGCTACTTAAAAAAACCCTGAACTTGTTTGTATCAAGCAATTCCCCTAATATACAAGTTACAATTCAAGGGCACTGAATCTATTAAACATAATTTTGTTTTTCCCTAAACATGAAACATCAAGTAACAAACAACAGGAAACTCAGTTGCTATTACAGATCATTTTGCCCAAAAGTCTTACAATAGAATCTTTTCTGTAATTTAAACTCTGAACTTTGCCATTACATTTGATCTTTTTGTCTAAAGTGATGCCAATATTATAGTTTCTGATTCTCTGAGGCTGGGGTGGGGGTGGGCAAGAACTTTATAAGATATTGTGTATTTTTATTAATTGGTAAGACTGTACTAGCAGTACTGTAATAGCAGTACTCCAACTAGCACTCCTAAGATCTCTACAACATTGAACAGTCATAGAAAACTACAAGAATGGGGGAAATAAATGTTATTTATTTTCACTTAGCAGTATGCCAAGCTAATTTTTAACAGATCTTCATGTATTTACGTGATCTTCAAATAAAAAATAGCAAGTAAACAACTATACTTCGTGGCACTCAAAACCTGACGGCTTATTTACTGAACAGAAACCTGTTAATCTTTTTTTTTCAGCATTATCATAGTGCTTATGAAAACCCAAAACAATCCTACTATTTGAAAATCCTTCTGAACGTTAAAATTTCATAATACCAGAAATACTAAGACAACCTTTTGAGTAAGCCACACTGTTAACCTATAAACATCTAATAATCATAAATTGTTACCCATCATTATTTTCCTATTCCCTACTAAATCCTTCCAACCTGGGGAAGGAGGAAAAGGAGTTTGGTGCCAAATACTCTTTCAAAAACTTTTACAACCTTTAATAGGTTGTTGACACGCTAATTTTTTTTTCACCACAACCTTATAACCTCATGAAGTTTTAGTTTTTTTTTTTTTTTTGAGATAAATATTCCTTCTTACCAGTTTGGAAATTGAGATAAAAAGTTAAGTAATCTGCCCAAAGTACACAGCTAAATAATTAGTGAAAATGAGCTACACACAGGCATTGTCTAGCTCCAGTTTTTGCCAAAAGCCACTGTCTCTACCACACAGCTTCTTAATCTAACTTTTTGTTTAATATATAATTAGAATAAGAGCAGCTATTCAAAAAAGGGATTAGGCTCTCCTTTACAACAAAATAAAAGAACAGTAAAACTGTAAAACAATGTGTATTAAAAGGACAAAAAATGCAGTAAGTACAAATTTGACAGACAACTTTGATACAAACGCTAATGAATATATGTATACTCAAGCTTAACCAATAATACTAAATTTTAAAAGACTAGGAAGAGTATAATTAATGACGTCTTTCATAAAAGTTCTGGTTTTTTGAGGTCTAAATTTGGGGCAATTTGTCTCTTTCCGATCTCAGTACCCTGTTGATACTATTTCTGCTCAATTTCAAACTTCCAAATTTATTGATCACTGGTGTCTTTTTTTATAGCACGTAAAAGTTTTCAGGAAAATTTTAATTTGCATAGCTCAAATCACCTAGGTGTATAAACCTATTTTTTAAAATGGAGGACTAAAACATTAAATAGAAAAAGTCTCCTAAGCAATAAATAGTAGGGAACAGAACAAAATGATGGGTAACAACTTATGATTAGTATATTAACAATTCACAGCATGCTATCAATTTATGATGACATATTGAAGATTTCTAGACACATGAGCCAATGAGACAACGGACTAATAGACACTCTGTGGCTCAGACGATCCACGTATTCACCTTGGCAAAGAACAAGAACAAAAGGGGTAAAATTGCAAGAAATGCCTAGATGACATGCATGTGGAATGAGGGAGAGATGTTATGTAGGTTATGAGGATGACACACCGGCATGCGAAAGGTTTCTGGGCGCGACCAAATCGTTGCAGTACCAACGGGGTTGTGTTTGTTTACACTGTGGCGCCTGCAAGAAAGCCGGCAAGCTTCAAATGGACTATTAACTTAATAACATCGACGAGAAAGGAAGGTAAAGGCAACTGAACGTCTGGATGGGCAGATCGTCGTCTGGGCCCCCGGGACTGTGGCCCAAACCCAGATTACTCCCCCTCCTACGGGCCTTCTATTTGCGCACAAAGAACCCGCAGCTTTAGGTCGGTCCTCCGCCTCCTTTTACCCTAATTACCGTGGCCTTAATTTCGGGATAGCTGAGACAAGTGGATGGGCTGGAGAAGGAGGGGAGGAGCCCGGGGAGGGTCGGTGTCTGTCTGGGCCAGAGGCTGACCTCCCTCGACGGCCCTGCCAGCACGGCCGCAGGAACTCCAAGCATTCCGGGCGCGGCGCCCCCAGCCTTCCGCCGCTGCCCCGGCACCTCCGCCCCGGTCTCGGCCGTCACCAACACCGCCCCCCCTCAGGCCCCTCACAACGACGCAATCGGCGGCTTGCGGCGGAACCCCACCCCGCCTCGCCTTTCCAGGAGGCTTCCCCCGCTTCGTCCACTCCCGAGTGCCCCGAAAGCCCTCCACCCCCATGCTCGGGTTTGCTACCTGGATCCGCTTCTTGTGTCGCCTGCGTTCCGCCATGTTGGCTGCTGCGCCGGGTTCCCTTTGACGTGGAGGGAGGAGGGGGCGACGGAAGCCTCGCGAGAGCCCGCGCGGAGGCCCGTTATGTAACCTGCCGGCTGGCTCCCCGGGTGGGGGGAGGCGGTGGGGGGGCAGGCGAGGGGGGCAGGCGAGGGGGGGAAGGGGGGCCCGCGGGGGCCGGGCCTCCACCTCGCCGGCTCTCCTCTGTTCCCGCGGCTCCTCTTGCTGCTGAACGTCGTTGGCACCAAGAGGAAGTTGAGAAGTGCTTTCGAGAACAGGGGAACTGGAAACAGGTCTTGGTTTTCAAACCTAAATGAGCATCTGAATCACCTGGGCAGCTGTTAAAATACAGATTCCGGGGCCCCACCCCTCAGAGTCAGTATGCTTGGGGTGGTGCCTCTCACCGAGGCATGGACTAAGAACTACTGAATTGCAGATGTCCCCAACTATGGCAATTTCTGTTTTGCCACCGACCATGGCCATTCCCCACTACAGTGTAAATTCTATCACCCCATTTCAAAGATGGGTAAGCGGGCATAACTGAGTGGCAGACACGAACTGATTTATCTGGTTGACAGCAGAGCCCAGTCCTAATTAATTATCTTTTCCCATACACTACCCGGAACAGTACAGTTCCTCTGGAACTTTGGGTCCTTTCTTCTATTTTCTACTTGCTTCTTAAAACTTACTTTTAGAACCCAAGAGTCAGCAGCAATCTTTCTGCCCACCTGTGACTCTGCAGGTGCTTTCTTTTACCAGCTCTATTCCCTCCGTGGGGCAGCCGCGCCTGCCTGCCCATGACCTGTACCATGCAGGGACTTATCCTCACTGACCTCCCTCAGCGGAGGCAGCTCTCCTCAAGGCTGCCAGCCAGCCACATGCAGGCCTCTCTAAGCAAACCTGTCGTTTTGCGGGCACCTCGTTGCTTGTGCCTATGCAAGTGGCTTTTACTGTCCTGTCCCTTTTCTAATAAACGTGCGCTTTAAATATTAAAAAAAGGACCTCCCCTGGTGGCTCAGGAGGTTGAGTGCTGCTCCGTGAAGCAGTCTGCAGCCTCTGCAGCACCTATTGGATCCCGACAGGCTGGTGAGAATCCCACATGGCCCAGCAGACCTCTCCTGTCTCGCTGGCAGCTGCCCCCTCAGCAGTGTACTTCTGTCCCCCACTGTCTCTGGTGAATCCTCTCACCCCCCACACCCCCACACCTCTGGCCTGTACCCCAGCTTTTGTATGCATGAATAAATAAATCTTAAAAAAAAAAAAAAGAATCCAAGAGTCAAATCGAATCCAAGGAAGTAAATACTAAAAGCATTTGCTAGTTCCTTTGCTTTGGTTATTTATCCATCACTTTTCTGATTTATTTCACTCAGCTTAATCAGTTCAAATTCTGTCCATGTCACAAAAGGGAAGATACCATCTTTTTAATAGCTGAATAGTATTCCATTGAGAATATTTACCAGAACTTCTTTATCCAGTAACCAAAATAAGGGAACTGACCAAACAAAAATAACTCTTAGACTCCAAGAAAAAAAGAGCGATTACCAGAGGAGGAGGAAAGAGTAGTAATAGTGCCAAGAACACTAGAATTTTGATGTTGTGTGAACTGAGGCTTATACACATGTGGAGGTGAAGATGTATCCACCAATGGTAAATCATAAAATTTTATTAAAAAAAAAAAAACTACTAGTGAGATGAATAGGAGAAAGAATCTAAAGAAGTTGGTAAGGAAAAGGACTACAGTTCAAGTTGGTGAATTACTAGTATAACTATTATTATTTTAGAGCCACCTAGACCAAAAAGAGTATACTTGAATTGTATGTAAGTGTTTAAAGAGAGAAATTGCCATGACTTTATGGAGATTTGTAGAAATTAATTAGGAAAAGACGATGAAGAAAATAAAAATCCCTAATTTTACCACCCAGAGTCTGTTACCATTTTAGTTTATTTTCTTCTAGCATTTATTCCTATTTTGTGTATAATTTCATATAATTTCTCCTCCCCCAAATTGAGATCATATTGCACATATAATACAGTACTGCCTTTTTTCACTTAGTGTTACATTGCAAGCATTTTTTTATGTCATTTAAAAATTATTCAAGTTTCCCATACATGTTAGCTAAAGCAACTAAATATGTCATTAAGACAAATCATGGCATCCTGATGCCTAATCATTTATAAAGTAAGCTAAAATTCTTTTTTGGACTGAGCAATTATGCCCTTGGGGTACAGGATCAGCAAACCATTTGTTTTTTTCCCTCCTTTATAATTTATAATTATAGATATACAAGAAAAAAAGATAATTCTTACCAATTAACCCAAGATGTAACATAGAATAAGAAATGTCTGTATTTCCATATATTTCCCTTCTCACCATTCAAATATTGATGGGTCTGTCTTGTACTGTTTTATTTGGAGAATACTGGACTTTTTTTCATAGGAGAGCTACTCTATAAGTGAAAATATTGCTGTACTTAATAGATATTGAGTGGCTACAGAGTCAAAATGGTAGGGTAGGTTTATATTGGAGAATGAAAATCCTCTGTGACAGTGACACCCTCTCAGGTTATTGCCATACCATCCTTTTCTTCAGAAAATTTTAGAGTCCCCATGTTTCACTGTCTTTCATCCTTAGACTACAATAATTTGGTTTCTATATTCACTGTCCATTGATAATTTTCATCAAATCCAATAGCTTTTTTTCAGCTAGCATCTTATTCAGCACTTCTTGACTTCTTTTTCTTTGGCATTTATGATATCAAATTCTTCCTTTTGATTTCGCTTTGGCTTCTCTTTCTTCACCCAGCTGCTAAATGTTCCTGGCCACCCACCATGCTTGCATGCTCAGCTTTTCCCCTTCTCTCTTTGCATTATGGGAATTCTCATTATTGCTAGCAGTTTAATTCTAAAACACTGCATAAATGTTTAATTCCAGCGTTCTTCTGTACATCCCCACTGTATATCTAATTAGAAGTCACTATTTTCCCCCACAAAACCTGCCCCTTTTACTGTGTTTTAAAGGTCTGATAAATACATCATTGTTCAGTCAGTTACTCCTACTTGAAATACCTTGGAGGTATCCCAACAATGTCACTGTGCCAATCACTCACAAATCCTATTCATTCTACAAGTGAGATGTTTGGAATTCTTCCTCTCCTAGTCACTCCTGATGTCATTGCTTTGATCAGGACTTTACCACTGCCTGCCTGAACTATTATTGCAAGCGTCTCCTCTAATTATTCTTCCTAACTCTGCCCTCTCATACTCTAGACCATTTTTCACTCCCTTGCTTAAATAACCTCCACTATGATTCCCCGATTCTGTAGAGCAGCATTAATACTGGCTAATGTTTGCACCTATAACCCAAGTGTCAAATTTATTAGATCCTCCTTCTGCCTAATGTTTATATTAAAATAGTATACTTTTCCCAGCACTGCAATTATAATTTTGATGATGGTAGTGGGGAGTCTTTCCTGCTTGCTTCTTGCTCTGGTTTCCCTTTATATTTGCAAACTCCAGTCATTTGTTCTTTCACAAATAAGGAACATTGTCCCTCTTCCTTTCTTTTGTCAAAGCAAAAAAATTCTTTGCCCCCCTCCCCATCCATTCTGTCATTTTTCCTTAGAGCTGCCTTGAGACTCAGAATTTCTCTTGCTTTACAGAGTACAGAAGTTGTGAACTCTTCACTCTTAACTGGATGCCTCTAGGCATACAACTTTAAAAGTTAATTATTATGCTCTATTAAACAAAGGATTCTTTAATATGGATCCCCTCTTTGGTGGACCGATGAGTAGGTGGGACTTGAAAAATTGTTCCCTGGGACCTGTCATCTAGTAAGTGGAAGGGAATAGTATATGGAAATATTATATGTTCCCATTGATCAATGGGAAAACAAAACAGTTTCTGCAAAACAGAAACTGACATATTTCACTTATTGTTTTAAATAATGTTTTCTCTCCATCCATTTTATATGTTAAATATATATGTGTGTGATGAAATCAAAAAGAAAAAATATATAGGGAATTATAGAAAATAATGGCCAGGCCTTTTTGGGGGCATGGATTTTATTAAAACCAAAACCAAATATGTCGTTGATAATGTCAGTGATTTACAACAAAGAAAAATAAATTTAATATAAATTTATTTATTTACTTCCAACTATATTAGTCTCATTTTATTCTTTAGGCAATCTCCTCCAGAGTTAATTTCCTTTGTTGATAGGTGACAAAATGTATAAGAATCCACTTAAAATGTTGGCACTTCTGCCTTTCCTGCTTCATCCTTACCACTGTAAGGCCATAATTCTCCTCCCATACCCCATCCACCACATACATTTTCACACACACACGTTCTCTGTTTTTTCCTTTCCCTTTCTATTTGGCTTATCCTTCAAGGGTCAGGTAACATGACACCACCATAGTGAAACCTTCCTTGAATTCTTCTTCAGCAGATTCAGTTATTTCTTTTTCTGGACTCCTACGACATGTTGTACAATCATTACTATAGTATATATAATTTACATTGTAATTTATTGTATTTCTTTTACCAAACTGTGGGCCTTTCAAGGGCGAATATTGTGTCTAATTTGTACTGTTCTCAATGCCTACCCCAGTGCCTGCTTCAGACTGACTGGGTATTGATGGTGTGAATAATGAATGATGAAAATGACATGGTCCTTATCCTCTGTAGCTCTAGTAAATGGGAGAAATATGTTCATAAGGCAGATAAAATTATGTTGGCACATCTTTAATATATACCACGTCGTCCGTTATATATACTTCTCAATAGAATTTAGAGAAACCAGTTTAATAAAAGGCTTCCCTAGATTTAATTGAAGAAACACTTTCTTGTGCAAGAAGAGAGGCTCTAGCTATCAGTCATTCTGCCTGATTTCCTTGATGTGTACTTACTGAGAGATGTGTGAGGACCCACCCTCTTAAATTACCTCCAGCCCAGCAATTAGAGAGAAAACGCAGGGTTTGGCAAAACTAAACCCCCCAAATTAAAATCTCTTGGACAAGGAAACAAAGCTAAACTTCATGTTT